CAGGTAAAATATTTTTTCACCCTACAGACCAAAAGACCAGAATAAGCTATGTACATTAGTGATATTAAATAATAGTAATGTACAAGTACTTAGTGGTTTTATTATGCTCTTACTCGAAGAACATGGTACCACACAGAGGTGCCTCCAAAGTCGATGTGAAAGTCTGTGTAGCTGTCCTTGACTCCCATTAAGCAGTACTTTTGTACATTAGGACGTTCAAATACAGACTCCTCTGGCCAGAGGTTTTCAACCCATGACAGCTTTCTTACAATCTTTGGAGTCTCCACCAAATTTGAAAGTCTGAAAAATTACAAAAATATATGTTTTTCTAATTTGCCATTTATATTGGAATCTTTACAGAAGAAAGTCTTACCTGGTTTCAGAGAATTCCAAGCTAATTACATTAAGAACCTTGTCTCTATTGGGACTGTTGTAATACTCAACAAAGTCTCCTAAACGCATCTTCAAGTCACACTGACGAGCCACATCAATCACATCAATCTCCTTGTCTGAACCTGTGATTATATAAAAAATTAAAATAAAGAACACATAAAAATTCTACATTCAAGGTAACAGAAAGAAGAGTGTTCATTATTGTACTAATTTACCTATGTAGTTTTCTACATCGCTGACTGTAAATGAAGATGGAGGCAAAGTCATCCCAAGACCATCCCTTCGAAGCACCATAACAGGAACACTAAACGAGTGCTCTTCAAGAAATTCCACTGTGAGCTGGGCACCGGTGGGTTTCAGTAAGACTTCATCCGCACTTGAAGAAATTGGTCATGTTAACAACATACATGTTGTCTTTTAAAAATATAAAATAAAATGGTCTCTATGCACAAAAGAGCCTGGCTAATTACGGTCACAGTGTTATCAACCTACGTTTTACCTCCATTAAATTCCTAAGGGGATTTCCCTCGAGATGCACTAGTATAAATTAATATTAAGCATCAGGCTCCAAGCAGTGAGTTATAGTTTGACAAGATGTAAAACATTTTATGAACAATACAAATACTTAAGTTATGTGTTTATAAAAGGTATGTGTTTTTGTCTCAGAGCTGATACAAAGATAAAGTATAAATAAAGTAAAGTTATATTAAAGACAATAAAAACAATTGTTTTATAAGTAGATTAGTTTAGTTTGTGGTGTTATTATTATTTATTAAGGTTCAAAATCAAGAGGCAAAACCCTTACCTTACCCATAAGTGCCATCCGGTGGAGTAGTGCTTAAGATGTTATCAGTGATACATTAGAATATAATGTAGGTAAGGACAGTAATACTGTTGTTTGTGACCTGAACTAGTTAGGGCTCGGTTGTGCACAGAGCCTTTATTTTAATGTAAATTTAACTGCATTTTATATAAATTATATTATATAAATTATAAAAATACACTGATGCAGATACTTACTTTGGAAAGGTGCGGCTCCGTAGCTCTCTGACAAACTGAGCACTGCCCGTTTTCACAGGTCGACTTGGATCTCTGACCCCAGCAGCACCTGTATCTGACTGCTTAGTTCCTCCGCGTCGTTTACGCACTAAAAGAAAACAAATAATATCAGTAAATTAATTTTCAACAAAAACAAAGAGGTGTTTACTATTGGTGCCCTAAAGCCTTATCAATAATTTGGTTTTACAAATTATACTTTTTTTTTTTTTTTTTTTTACATATACAAGTAATACAGTTCAACACTGTTGTTTTTTCTGATCATGGTCCCTCTCATTAATCACAATTGATTTTGTGAATTATATATAAACTTAGCTACTGGACTGTTTGTTTGTTTGTTTATTTATTTTGATTTATAAATTCCTGAGAAATACATGTGATGTTTTACTCAAAAAATTGTTGTAAATACAATGTCAAAAATAATAATAAAAACCTATTGACAAAGTCACCACAATCTCAGTTGATTCTGTAAGAAACATAGCAGAGCTAGGAGTAAGTACAAGTAAAAAAGAATTGAAAACTTACTGACAGAGGGTCCATGTATAACTTGACAATTTGGACAATGATACAGATCAATCTCTGCAGCGTTTTCCTCTTCAACTCCAACACAGCTACAAGGGAAAAATAACTTACAGATCTCCTCTTAAAACAAACAGTAGTACGTAACATAATAATGTTTTATGCCTAACAAACTCACCTTCCATGAAACCAGTCTTGGCAAATATCACACTCAATCATAAAGCGTGTCACATCATACGGCAGACGGCACAGGCAGTAAACTGGTACAGATGCCATACTGGATGAGTTTTATACCGCTTTGTTGTTGCAAATGACCAGCACTTGACTGGTGGTTGAAGTCAGATATGAATCTAATGCTAATGAGTAATCCTCATGGTCCATATACATAAAAAGACCTGTAGGATAGAACCATCACATCAGATATGTTAATTGATTTAACAATTTATACATGTTTAAGAAAGCAATTGTCTAAGGGACTATACATATTGTGTAACGCTAATTACTTTAAAATGCTCAGTAATAATAAGAATTACACAGAACTAGATTAAACAATAAGATGTGGTGTTTGCACTGATGACATATGTAGATAAGTAGGTTGGATATTAAACATTTCGCATGTGCTGTTTGTAAACACAATGTGGCTGTGTTGTTTTCAAAGAACCAAGCTAAGCTAGCTAGTTCTGCTAATACGATACGAAGCTAACGTTAGCCGTGTTTACCAAATACTTTAAGACTGTTTTACAGAGAAGAAAAAATATTGGAAACGACACCATACTTGATTTGCAAATATATTATGTAGGGAGGGACGAAACATGCCAAAAGAAGCCAAACACACCAACTTACCGAGTTAGCGTAAGATAGCTGAAGCAGCAGCGCTGCTAAAGCAGATGTAATCCCTACGCAAGTCCGGGGAAGTAGCGGCCCTGTTATATAGTTATTAGCTATTTTAAACGCCACATTCTCATTGTAAGCTGAAATAGGCAATTCAATGAAATTTTGGTCTATAAATTTCCGAAAAATCTATAAACACAGTCAAATCAGACCTTAAGCGTCCAAAATAATAATAAATAACGGCGAGTATAAATGCATCAGCGCCATTTCAAAGACAAGAGCGTCACCGCGTCATTACGTCACGGAATCGGTTGAAAAGAGACCAATGTAGTTTTTCAACATCGATCATGGGGCTTTGAGAGTAGATTCTCCTCTATAAAATTTATTAATTAAAATTAATCCTAGAATCTGTAGGCCAGGTCTATATTTTAAAATGTCTTCACATTTGTTAAAACTCCGATCTATGCTATTTAGTTTTCAAATCAGTAAAGCGCAGTGCACTAGACCAGACACACGAGGTACAGGATGTAACTCATAATTTATTAAGATTAGTTACAAAAACATGAATATAATCAATGAGATTAGTCACATCTACAGAGGCTATTCACCAGCAACATATACTTTAAGGTTTCATATCTTGGTGATTCCCCGAAATATGGGACTTCCCCAGAATTTAACAAGGATTAAAAAAAAAAAAAAAAAGCTCAACTTGCTGGTGCCCTCTTTATTTCCAAACCTATTGTCCTGTAAAAGAAACACACACTGTAAATGTAAATCTGACTCAGCCACTGAATGATGTAGGCGGTTGTTATTAGGCATATTGTTTTTGCTGAGGGATTCCTTTAAAAATAAAGAAAAAAGATGAAAACCAGTGTCATAAGGATTTTATAATTTCTCCAATGTGTGAATATCCAACATTATTTTACAATTTGTACACCCTGTTTAATACAAAAATAACATTTATCTTTTAGATAACATTTTAAGCATATATTAAAGTCTTTCTCAACCCATACTGAGCTGAAGTTTGTGGCTGTTGTCACAGTATCCCCCTTAATCATGAAGAAAAAAAGTTATTAAATAACTTTTTCTATTGTGCACTTGCAGTTTCCACACCAATGTGTAACTATTTGCAAATACAGTTTTAGTTTTATATTCTTCATTTAAGTGTTAAAATAAAAAAGTCAGTTAAAAACAAGTGCAATGCTGTATTTTTTACTCTAAAGCAAAACCACGGCATCTAAATAATCTATTTACCATATGACTATTTAAGGTCAAACGTTTGTATGGCAAAGTTCATAAGCTTCTCATTTGGAATTAAAGTTATTAAATCTACATTTACATAAAAAATAAAAAGGAATGAAGTCTTTACTGAGTACCTTAGTTTAGGCCTATAAAGCTCAGGTAAGCTTAATCTTACACCAGTAGCCTAAGACTGTAGATAGCCTGTAGACTGTAGATCAGACCTTGTCTGTAGGACAGAAAATGTCTGATAGTAAAATCCATCTATGCTATTTCTGTTTTCTTAAAAGAAAAAAAGTTAACATTTTATTTATATAGGTTTAAATCAGTGACTTAAATAAAAGTCAATTTGGATCAAATTCATAATAGCAACAAACAACAGGACTCTCACATACTTTTGTCACACAAAAATATAAATCCATAGTCTAATTAAAATGTGGTAAATTTAAAGGCATTTAGGAATAACCCGTATGGTTTCCCTTGTCAACATGATTTGGCAGTTTTCTTTCTCATGTTTTTTTAAAGCAAGTATTTCTGTACACTGATGCTTAATTAATGCCAAATGTGATTTTCTGTAAAATATTGTATTATATGTGATAACACTGGTAAAGAACATCTATAATACTGCAGAGGCCAAAACTTGCCATGCTAACATTAGATTAGGCAAGTTGGTTAAGTCATGCAGTCTGAAGTCAAATAAGTTGTTGCAACACAAATGTTTCATGGATGCAAATAAAAATATTCTAGATAATAACAGTGAAAGCCAAATAACCTAACATGCTCTTTAGTGAGACATGCTCCTATTCATAATTGTTGACAGGAAGGTTTATCAGCATTTTCTTGACTTGCTTTATGGTCTTTATGTAGACTTTAAAAAAATATTGAGGAAAAAAAATACATCACATGCGCAATTACCATTGCTAATTGCACTTTTTAATCAATGTTACTTTTAATGTAAGGAGCAAGACACATGTATGACTTAAATGTTATTTCAGTTAAGGAAGAGTTTGAATCAGTAGTAAAACTTGCTGACAAATGCACAAATCCATACCTTCATAATTTCTGGAGAAATCAGTTATCCAAGTTCATACATTATGAAGCCTTTGTTCTATACATGCTCAAACCTCTCTGTATCCTTTCCCATTCACCCCACATTCCACACATATAACACACAGCTCAAAATTAGTTACATCTATTACCAAATGGTTTTCCATGCCATAAAACATTACTTGTCATCACACTTCAGTTTCATTTTTGACCCAAAGGAAGAGTTGAGGTGGGGGGACTTGGGTGAATTTTGGCACTAGAAGGCAGAGCAGCAGCTGTAGAGCACGCAGCGGTGCAAGTGGCTTGGGTCATAGCAGCAGTTTCCACAGTTGAGGTGGTGCCACTGACAGGGAGCAGAGGTGCTGTAGCAGAAACTGGAGATGTAGGCATTTGGGAAGGCAGCAGGGTCTGGCTTTGAGATGTGGAGAGAGCTAGTTGAGAGATGGGCTGTGTCTGTGACTGGGGTAACACGGATGCTTGCATCCGTGATGGTGGTGCCATCTGTTGTAGCAATGGGGACTGCTGATAGGTCATTTGTTGAATGGGGACAGACTGGTGCAGGTGTAAACTCTGTTGCATCTGTTGGGTTGGTCCAAGAGAGTGCAAGGCAGACAGGTTTCCTCCTGTACCTGTGAAGTGAGAGGAGGCTGTCACAGACAAGCTCCCTGGAGCTGGAGGCGTCTGGGGATTCAGGGGAGAAACTGGAAACCAACCAGGCTGAGTCGGCTGTTAACATGAAGTGGATACAGTGATTTTAATGTGTTTTGATTGTAGTATACTAGATATTGTTTTGTTATTTTTTTTGTAGGCTTACCTCTGGAGAATGGCTCCAGCCCCCTAACTCTTGAACCTGCTGAATTTGCTTTATTTGATTCAGCGAAGGTTTGGGAGGGGTAGATCCCACTGGGTCTTTAGTCCAGTTATCGACCAACTTGTGCAGTTCATCTGTAAATGTGCTTTTTCTTAGAGGACTATGATCTGTTAAAAAAAAACAAAAACAACATGAAACATGTATTATGATTACAAAAATTGCATATTGTACAGCTGAGTTAACGCAAACATTTTACTCATGTGCCTGTTATGTTCTCTTTGTTGTGCTCTCCATTGTGATGATGAAAAGCATGCAAACTATGTCACTACTATGACTACATTTGAGTTTTGGAGGTAGATGGGAAGCCTAGGACATCAATTTTCTGTCACTGATCATCTAGCAGTGAGTTGGTAAATTATACCTCTTTGAGTAGTAGAGAAATGCTGCTGTGGGTTGTCCAGTGGTATTCTCTGATCACTACTTAAATAGCTACTTGACATTTGGATACCTAGATGAGTACAACCAGACAAAATGTTAAACACCAGGAACGAAGTAAAATATGAATTCAGTAGTAGTAATAAAATACCTTAATACCTGAAAGTGCAACTCCATTATTGTCCATGTGAGAGTGGGGTCGCCTGAGCTTGACCTTGGCTGGTCGGGATCTTCGTGGGGACAAAACAGGGAGAGCTGCAGGGAGCGGTGTGGTTTGGGACAGAGCAACAGGCAAACTCTGCCTCTGGTCCTTAAGAGAACGAAGCTGACGATAAAGCTCCTGAAGTTCCCTATTCTGCTGAGCCTGAAGGGATACCACCTCCTTGATGTGTCTGTAACAGTTGTTGGTAATATTGATTATAGAAGAATACACATCTCATTAAAACATTGTCATGAACTTCACTATGGGGTCCCTTAAACATTTTCACCACAAAACCTGATCAAAGTAATGGGTATGTAAACATATGTAATTTATCTGAGATGGTAAGCAGTTTTAATCAGAATCTGACAAGGTGATAGGTACTATAAAGCAACTCAAAGGAGCATTTCTAGATTACACTATGTGTGGGGGTACCAGGAAACAAGTATTTGAGAGTGTTGCATGCTTCTCACTTTTCTCTCAATTTGTGTAGTTCCCTTCGCAAATCTTCATCCTCCACTTCACTTTCATCATCGTCACTGCTGCCCAGAGGTGAGTAAGTGTGGCTGTGTGAACGAGACATTGCTGGAGTCCTTTTACTGTCTTCTTTATCCCCTTCTTTAGCACGAGACCTCCTCCTCTCTCTCTCTAGGTCTGGAGACACAGGAGAGCTGTCTGTTTGCTTATGCTCCTTCTTTGATTCAGCTTGGGTTACGCAGAACCGCCCCACTTTTCTTGGAGCGTTAATATGGCCTGGTGCTGCCTCTTTTGGGGGAGATGACTGTGGCACTGGAATCACCTGGAGATACAATGATACAAGATAAGACATGGGAGCTAAACTAATTGTATTACTGCACACCCTCACTGGTGGTGTGAGATCTTACTCAGGGTCAGGGTCTGCAGTTCACAATTTTATTAGAATTTTATTTTTGCTTCCTACATGAAAATGGTCTAATCCTGATGATATCTGGAAAGCATGCAGGCACGCATGAATGGCTGGTATGATAACTACTGTATTACACCATTAAGACATGCTATACAGGCTAGTTTTACCTGAAATCGTCCAGTGCGTATCTCTGGAGAGTTCACAGTGGGCACCTCCTTCTCCTCACTTAAGGACTGGCTACTAGAAGCTTCATCTGATAAAATATGGGAATGAAATGCAGACAAGGACAGAAAGACAAGACACAAGTATAAAGACCACATAGACAAAGAAAAGTCATACAAAGATAGGCACAAAGAGGTGGAGGACAAACACAGAAGCAAAAAGTTAATTACACAATGTCAGCTTGTAGACCCACATGGCTTGCATGCAAGTCTTTGAAATGTGCAAAATTTAATTAATATTTTCAAGCAAAATATACATGCTAGATATGTAGTATTATGGGCATGTGAGGAGGGGGGTACAATACAACATGAAAATGTAAAAAAAAAAAAATTAAGTGAAACAGCCGTTGGTGTGAATAAAAACTTCACCCAGCCACACACATCCACTCTCTCATTTGCAATGGCTCCCATTGTATAAACCAAACATCAAAGTCCAAAGTCACTGTTGAAATCTTCACATAATCAGGTCAACTGTGAAATTGTTCATTATGTTATGGGATTATATATTATGGCAATGGGGACAATACAATATATAAACAACTTATATACTTAGTACTTACAGATAATGATCCAACAGACAGGTGTAGTTATGTATGGATCATGCAGGGGCCAAAGATAGCTTAAAGGTCCTATATTAAACAATTTCTGGTCTATGTTATAATGATTATTTGTATTGTTTCCTCATCAAAAACATACCTGGAGTTGTGTTTTGTTTCAGTCACACATGTTTAACAAACCCTCGATATTTAGGCTGTGTTCTTTTCTCAAACAGAAAACATTCTGTTCCACCTTGTGATGTCACGTGGTAATAGAGGAAGTGCTCCATTGTGTTTTTAAATTCTATACACCTTCACTAAAATCATTCAGATAATTTCAGCCCTGGACTGTCCAATCTCTAAAGAATTTGAAAACTACCGCTTCATGACATCACAGTGTTATGAAGCGGTAGTTTTTTGGAGCATTTAAATCTTTGGAGATGCAGGCAGCCTAATAATTCAGGATTACTCAATCATGTGTGAATGAAACAAAACACAACTCCATGTAAGTTTGTGGGGAAGGAACAACAGTATAACATTGTTAAAAGTTCACAAGAGTAATTTTTTTCATAATATAGGACCTTTAATATTATAACAAGCAAAATTCATAAAACTGAAAGCAACCTATAAGGGCTATAATAAAAAGCACTAACTTAATGCTCTGTATTTAATGTGAGATATAATTTTGGTAAAATTATTGTAATATATGCCAGTGACTTTGCAGCTATCTTATCTGATGTGAAGGCAGTTGCATGGTGCTGTGTGCACTGAACCAGCTGGTGGAGGCCAGGTGAGCTGGGGCTGCTGGTAGTGCCCATGGACATAGGGTAGAGAAAAGGGTGATATGACGTGATATGTTCTGGTCAAAGGCATCAGGCTTCTACACTGTCCCTCTACTTTCCACTGCTCGCCTCTGATAACCCATGCAAAACAAAAAGACTTCCAAGAAAATAAAAATCTGTGAAAAATAAATTGGAAAAACAGTATGTAGTATGTAGTGACATCAACAACACATGATGGCTATAGTCACGTTACAACACAAAACACATTTAGCAATATCTTTCAATAGTCATTACTGGGGGTTAATGCAGTTACTATGTTATCAAACTAGCACTAATTATACTCTGTTAGGTTTAGGATCATGCCCCTGCATCCCATTCGCTCTCTCGTGCTCTCGCCTCCTAAAATGACGCTACCTTGCTGGACTCTGGGTTTCTTGAACAAGCTGGCGGAGTGGCGCAGTTTGCACGCCCAGTTTTTGAATTTGCGAGTCCACGTTTTCTTGCTAACAGGATTTCTGATACTAGGACATGTCAGGTTTAGGCCAAAATATCCACCTCCTGCATTGCGCTGCTGTTGTCCATGCCGGAGGGGGATCGGCTGCTGACTGGGGGGCCAGGATGCTTCTCCAGTTGTACTGGTGTCAGATTGAGGGGGTAGAGCCTAGAATAGTTGAGACAATAAATAATGGCTACAGGAAACTCAAACATTCATATGAAAACAGTAAAACACAAAAATATATCAGAATCTGTGGAGAGTGGAGTCACAAAACACAAATACTTTGTAGAAATAAGGCACATTTAGCTTTTTACTTACAAGGACTATTGGTTCTCCAGGGACAGGTGGTCGCTGTGTCATGATTAGGTCAATCTCTTTTGGGGATAAAGGGTTGGTCTCGGTAAGCAGAGATGGGTGAGGCTGCTGCTCCACTGGAATCACTTCAGATGACTTAAGGCACCCTTCTTCAGCCTTGCTAGCTCTGTCCAGCGGAGGGGATGATGAGGATGAGCGGGGTGTAGTGGAAGAGGTGCTGGAGGTGGAAGAGTGGGGGGATGTATCAGAGGAACAGACAGGAACAGCACAGGGTCCAGACAATGTGGACAGTGGCTGTGATGATTCATCTACACCTGCTGTGGAGCCAGCAGACAGAGATGTAGGTGCTCCTCCAGTCAAAGCTGCACCGCTGTTATACTCCTGATACAACAAATTGCGCAATTTTTCATCTAGCGTCTTGATGCGATTGTCAACAAATTCTATTTTTGGTGGCCCTTCACTATCAGACTCAGCAACAGAGGAAGGCTGAGCAGGAGATGGGGTCATAGCATGGGCCTGCACTGCCAGTGGGCTTTCTGTTGTGTTGAGATTGAGAGGGGGCATTGATGAATCAGAGGAGGGGGGTAGAACTGCAGAGTAGCTCCCAGTGTCCTCTGTAAGACTTGCATCTCCAGTTGACACCTCAGACTCAGACCTTTGACTTAAGGATGACTGCTTCTGCAAAGTAAAGTGCTGTAGCTTTTGGCCACTGTCCTGTTGTTCAAAGTGCTGAAGCAGTTTTTGTGATGGCACCTGCTGAGTGTCAGGGGTAAAGTGTGTTGGCTGTTGACTCTGCAGTGGCGGGACAGCGCTAACACTAAGCTGTGACTGCTGCTGAACAAACTGTTGACTAAGGGACAACGGAAGCATTGGATCTGGGTTTAAAGCCACATTTCCTTGTAACCGCTGCTGCTGTAGTTGACCCTGTTGTAAGTTTAACTGTTCGCGCTGTGTCTGTTGAAGTGGAGCACCACTTGCTGGAGAAGCCGTTTGTGGTAGAGGTGAATTTGGATGCTGTGGATACTGAGTGCCAGGTTGAACATGAGCTTGCTGTAAAGGGAGAGATACAGGAATAAATGACTGCAGAGGCACAGGCTGCTGTTGTGGTATAATTTGCATTGGCACTTGCTGCATTAATTGTTGTTGTAACTGCACAGACTGGTGGAGTTGAAGGTTATCTGCACCTACATTAGACTGATGCACTTGTTGTTGGGGTGCCATTTGATGGGTCTGCTGGGGTGGGATTGACTGTACCTGTCCAGTTTGAGGCTGCACAGGTAAAAGTGGTGGGACTTGCTGAAGTGAAAGTTGCTGCTGCATTATGGGAGCATGTTGTGGCACAGTTGCAGGAAGTAGAGGCTGAGGCCGCTGGACTGCGGTCAGGCCCATCGTTTGGACAAGGGCCTGCTGATCCATGCTGACAGAAGACAAAATTTCTGTGGTGCTAATAGGAGGAGACTGAACTGCTTTGGAGGGCACACCTGCCACTGGGTTAATTATAACTGCATCGCCTAAACTATGAGAGGCAACTGAGCAGCCACTGCTTCCAGGAGATGCATTTACTATGGGCAGAACTGCAGTATGCGTTGGGGTCATAACAGTGGCTGCAGTTGTGGCCAAGGAGGAGGGTGTATTATATGTCTGATTAACAGATCCTGATGTGATGGCTGAAGTGAGCTCAGGGATGGGACACTGTAAAGAGGAGGCAGGAGCAGAGGCTGGTTCAGATGGAGGAGTGTGAGCAATAGAAGCAGCTGTAGTTGAAGGGATCATCAAGGTTGGAGCTGAGAGAGAGGAGACGGGAGGAGCAGGAGTTTGAAGGGGAGCAGAGATGTCCGTCTGGGATCCCTCATGGTCTACAACAGAGGAACACAGAGGATGATAATGCAGAGCATACAGCAAATGGTAATGAATCTCTCAACATTTTTCTGTAAAATACAAAGGCCCTATTAACATCAGGGGGTAGCATTATTCACAAACATACAGTCAAGGAAATTGTAAACTTATTTTAAAGAAACTCATTTCCATGCAATACATGGGTCCTCTTTCTCAATAGGGAAAGGGTCTTGAAGTATTAAAGACTTTTTCTACAAAGTTTTATGATTTTCTGTAAATTAGTCAAAATATTTTTTCCATGCACCATTTTACATTATTGCTCATAATATATATAGGTTACTTTCTTGTTGTGTGGATTTCTTGGGGTGTTACCAAAATTCACCTTTGAAAATATATATATTTTTAAGAAAAATTGTGACAGGTCTAATGCCATTTGAAACTGTAAGGCATCCTTACCTTTTTCTGACAGTTGGACAACCGTTCCTTCTGCAGTTGTGCTGGCGGTCCCTTGACTGGACAAGGAGTCTCTGTGTCGGATGGTCTGGTTAATGAAGAACCGCCAGCGTCCCACCGGAGATGAATGAGGGACTGACTCCCCTAAAGTAGAACATGTTAATGAACAGTGAAATCCAGCCCATGGGGCAGAATTAAGATTATTAGACCACTCACCAGAGGCAGATGTTGGTGTGCCCACATGTAACTGGTCAGTGGATCCAGTCTAAAAAAGAATTGTGTTTGTTTAGCTTTTGTTTCAAGTATTTGAAAATTACAAAAACAGTACCAGTACATAAAATATAATACAAAATAAATTACCTGTGAATGTGATTGAAGAATTTCTTGGGCATTTTTAACTATAGCTCTAAGTTCTTCAACAAATGTATCTTTTTCCACCTCTAAAACAAAGTCTTCCTCCACCTATAAACAACATTAGTGTATTAATGTTGAGGAATTTCAAATATTTTATTTTGATCACGATATCTACCATATAATCAGCTATGTCCTCAGGAGCATCTCCTTCTATGTCAAATTTAAATGTCACCATCTTGTTGCTGTGGGTCTCTAGCTGACATTCAACCATATTGTCCCCACTGCTTGACACCTGTCAACAACTCACATTTACTATCTAACTTTGTAAATTTGTAACCTTGTAAATAATAATATATTTATGTTGATTTACCTGGAGCATGCTCAGCTGGAACTGATGTAACACTTTTTCTGACTTTTGACAAGAAGATCTTCTTTGACATTTTAGTTTTTCCAATTGTCCGTTGGACATCAGCTGAAAACTCTCTTCTCCACTTGCTGGAATTGACCTATGAACAGATGATTTCCGCTACTTGTAAATAAATGAGTGTCTTTGTTCCAAAGGGTTTTTTCACATTGCTTCATGACATCCTAGATGTCTCTAGATTAAAATCAATGTGGAGGGCAGTTCAGACGTTTAGTACGGAAGAATAAAAAATCTGCCAGTGCTAAAAGTCTTTGGCTGCTTTTCACACCCATCTCACACTATACTTATCTGTAAATAAATCCTTCGGGCCAAGTACACAATGAGGCAAAATGTGCAACATACCCCAATGAAGAATGACCATCTGTATTCGGCAGTAAGGATCCATCCTGAAGAGCAGCAAAAGAAAAGGGAATGCTTTCAATGTACATATAATATACACAATATCTAATAATACATTGTACCCAAATACGACTGTATACTTTAAAATGTGATTATAAGAACATTAACTTTGCAAATATTATAAGGTAAATGAGATTAAAATGAGGAATATCAATTTGAGTTGAACCTGTACCTGAGCAATGCCCAACAGGGAAAGGTCACAGTCTTGCAGTGAGGCTTTGGGCAGAATGGGAGCATTAGAGTCAAGCGGCTCTAAAGTGGAAGTGGCAACAGGTGGAGGGGAGGTGGGTATAAGGTTGGCAGGTCCCGGTAGGGTAACCTGGGCAGCTGGTGGAGATGAAGGCAGATCTGGAGCAGGGGCAGCAGGATGGTTGGATGGCAGCAATGAAAGGGGTGGTAGTGATGTTGTGGAGCATGAGTGAGTAGGACTGAGGGTCGTTTGTTGTGCAGGAAAGACAACATGGGGGAGGGAGGGTTCAGCTGTGGGTGCCTCAGTGAGTGTCTGTGGGAGAGGGTGCGTTTGTATCTGGGGTTGTGTGTGAGCTGTCTGCTTCGCCTGGTGCTGAGGTGAAGGGGGTGCCCCAGCTACAACATGGCTGTAGAGGGGCAGGTTACTCTGTAGGATCTGAGCAGCTCCAGCAGTGACTGGTGGAGGTGCAGGCAGAGCTGGCTCCTCATGCAACACTTGTGTTTGGGGAGTCTGCATCTGGACTGGGCCCACTGTGGTCTGGACAGGTAACTGGGGCAGGGCCTGCTGAGCAGGAGCTGTTTGAGGTGACTGGATTTGGGGAAGGCTTTTCAGTTGCTGCTGGGACTCAGCTGAAACAGGGTAGGAGATTGCTGACTCAGCACTGCCTCCTGCAGTCTGTTGTTGAAGATATAGAGCTCTTTGTTGCTCTAAGAACATCGCCTGTCCCATGTGCACAGGTTGGGGGCTAGAAATGAACTTTACAGGGTCCACAGCAGGTGTATGCACACCAACACTGGCTCCAGGAGACAGCACCATCTGCTGGAAGTGCTGCGGGTTCAGGTGTGTTGTGTCCGGCTGGAGGGATGGCGTTGTTTGGCTCAGAGATTGACTGACATACTGCAGGGTCAGAGAAGCTGCAGAGGGAGCCACTTGCAGAGAAAGGCTTTGAGTTTGGGGCTGCAGCTGTCCTTGCAATAGTCCTGTCATTGTAGCACTTTGCTTAACAGGAGGCAACCCATGGAGCTGGCCATTGTTTGGAGCAGTATGATGAGACAGGTCAGGCTGACTGACCATCACAGGCTGAGTCTGGACTAAGGCTGTGGCACTCCCTTGGCTCTGTGCAGATGTTGTGAAACCAGAATAAACAGTTTGTAAAGGGGCCTGCTGAACCTGACTGTGATGTGCCACTGGTGGACTTACTTTGGCCTCATTGAGAAGATGAGGCACTGGAGCAGACTGAGAGATAAATTGTTGTTGGTTTTGAATTAGACAATCAGTTTGTTGTGGCAGGATCTGAGCTGAGGGAGCTGCAGAGGTTAATACAGGGATCTGTCCTGTAGACTGCACATGGGACACACCTTCAGTTTGAGCTGCGACTGGAACATAATGCTCCATGATGGGGGCAGCACGTTGAGGCAGGGCAATAGTTTGCTGGGGCTGTACAGGAGTAGCTTGCTGCTGTTGCTCCATCCCTTGGTGCTGTGTGAGTACACTCTGGGTGGGATGTCCCTGTGGTACACAGATATGCTGCATATTTGTTGGCTGATTATGAATCTGTGGCTGATTTGGTTGAAGAGGAAGGACATCTTGTTTCATAGTTTGTTGGATCTGAACAATAGCAGCCTGTTGTTGTTCTTGAAGCTGTTGAATCAGGGTCTGCCTCTCCACTTGTTGCTGCTGTAGCAGAGCCTGTTGTTGCCGTTGCTGTTGCAGATGTTGTTGGAGTAAGGCCTGTTGTTGCAGCTGAGCCTGCTCCTGCTGCTGTTGGAGAAGAGCCTGCTGCTGGAGGTGCTGCTGCAGGAGAGCCTGCTGGTGGAGCTCCTGCTCTTTCTGATGCTGACTCTGTTGTTGTAGCAGTTGTTCATTCAGCAGTGTCTTTTGTGCCTCTTGTGTTGGCTGTAAGTAAATCTGAGCAGTTTGAGGCTGCACAGGCGCTTGATGTTGCTCGTGTTGCTGTTTGATCAGGGCTTGATCCAGTAATTGTTTGTGGATCTGTGCTTGCTGCTGCTCTACTTGTTGTAGCTGGGCCTGTTGCTGAAGTAGAGCTTTTTGTTCTTGCTGATCAAGCTGTTGTTGGAGATATGTCTGGTGTTGCTCGACGCCAGCCTGCTGTTGGTGCTCAGGTTGTTGGGATGGCTGGACAAACAGGAGTTGAGACTGAAGCTGTTGCTGTTTGCTTAGGTCCCCAGACTGGTGCTGTGTAAAGGCCTGCTGCTCTGTTGGGTGCTGTATCGGTGGAGCTGGCTCCCTACCTGTGTGCAGAGGTACGACTGGTGTCTGAGGCTGAGTGGCCAAAGCAAGCTGCACACCGGACTGCTGAGAAGGCTCGTGCTGATGCATGTGGGCAGCCGACGTGGAGAGGCTCTGTTGACCGTGGTCCGGTAGCGCCTGAGCGGCACTAACTTGTTGTTGAAGCAGAGTGGCCTGGGCCTCCATTTGCTGCTGTTGCTGCTGTGATGGTGGGAGCTGCAGGGTGGAGGCCTGTGGATCCATCCCCATCTGTTGTTGCTGGACAATAGTTTGTGGAGGGATCAGCTCGGGCTGTGTGTGCTGGGGTGCTGTCTGGGGAATGATGTCAGTGGGCTGCCTGGGAGTGGCAGGGGGTTGGCTTTGCTGAGTGAGGGGCACAGTGTTCCCCACTAGTCCAGTTGGATCACTGACTGAAATGGATGTAGTGAGAACATTAGAGGGCGCCAGTGGTGAAACAGGGGGCATGTATGCCTGTGAGGGTGGCAGTGACCCTTGGGGAGTGATAATGGGAAATGTGTCTGCTGGGTATGTATGAGCCTACATTGAATAATGAACCACGATGAGAGGTTGGCAGAGAGGGAAGAAAACAGCAGTAGAAAAATAGGTAAGTACAAGCTTTGGCAAAAGCATAAATTATCAACAGGTGATTTAATTTTTTGGTTTCTCACAGAATACTCTTCTGAAATACTATAGCTGCACAAATCATTTACACATTTTTATGAATTTATTCATGAATATGCTTAAGTTATTTATGAATATGCTATGCAAATTTTGCATTCGGTGAGAAATCCAGGACATTTTATAGTTTGTATTAGATTATTAAAAATATGATTTTAAGAAATTGTTATTAAAAGGCCATAGGTCCACATACCCATACAGGCAAAAAATATAATTTTCATTATTACACTTGCATTAAGTTAGTATAATTTCCCTTTTCACCTGAAAATATTGTTGAGGTATACTTGACAATACCTGTGGAACCAGTTTGTTTTGTTGATTAAATGCCCCTTCTGCCTGACCAAGAGAGACATTTGGGATACTACTGCTTTCTCCCACTGATAGCAGCTGAGGATGGACCACTGCAGGAGTATTCTACACAGATAGTAAATACACTGTTATAATGAAGAGTTAATTTTAAAGGATTGGTTTTAAAATAATAAATATAACATACAGATTGGAGATTAGAATAAGAGTCCCCTTGCTGATAGTAGACCTGGCTCTGGCCGCTGGCATAAGACTCACAGCTGACTGAACCTAGACTCTCTCCTTTGGAGGAAAAAATAAGCGTTATAAAACATAGTTCAATAGCGCTTTAATACATCATCATATGTAATGTCTATATGACCATGAATGCTAACCTGGCACGCTCAGAGTTGTCCCACTCGTAATCTGGTGTTGTCGAACATATTGGTCCACATCGTGGATGTCCTCTGACTGGCCTGCTGGCCCCAGGGAGGAGTAGCCCGAGGGGTGAGAAAAAGTGTAGGAGATAAGGCAAGGGTCTCTTTTCTCCTCAAATCCTTGCTGCTGTTGGAGGAGTTGCTGCTGTCTGCGCTCACGTGACTTCTTTATCTGATTAACACGATCCCGGATGGATTTTCCCACCACCTTTGCATCGCTTTCATGGAAGAAGCCTGACTTTACCTGTGAAGAGGGAAGAGAATGAGCTGGGTGAGTTTTGTTCATGTAAGGAACCTATCAGGAAACAGCTGACAACTGAGCCTCAAATTGTGTATTTAGTCTCTTTAATATATATCTAATTCACAAAATTTGAATAAAACATCTTTTTCTACTTGTCGTGTGTGAAAATGTTTTTTATGGATAAATCTGCATTTACTCTTTGATTACTGAGTCTAAAATGAACTTTCTTCTCACCATTTCAAGAGCCACTTCTTCAGCACTGTCATTCTCCAGGTCATAGCTGAATTCAATGGCTTCGTTGTCTTTATGCTTCCCCTTGAGTTTTTTAGGCTCTTCAACCCAGATCCGCAGGGCAAGACAATCCTGGTGCCCTGTATCTTCTTCTGCCAGCTCCACCCGCACCCCTGTGTCCTCCCCAAAGAAAGCGTGGTTCAGTAAGTCTTTAATTGATAATCTGCAGGAGAACAACACAGGAGAACAAACACATCAAGGTGCTGGCATAGTTTGGTGCAGTTTTTATCTAATCATTACTAAAATCTTGCCTCTGGCTCTTGTTCTGTCGAATGCATCCCTCAATGATCTCCTTAATCTCAGGATCATTCACTTTATCAAAGCTTGCTGGTTTAATTCCCTGTCAAATAAACACAACAAGTGAACAATAATTCCTCACTTTTCTGTTAGTCTCCTGACTTACACTTGTGACTTTGCGGTAGATCTGTGCAGCATTTTGACACTCAGAGTAGGGATATTCTGAAGTAGCCATTTCCAGCATGCACATCCCAAAGGCATAGACATCTACAGACTCATCATAGTGTTCCTCATACATCTCAGGTGCCATGAATTCTGGAGTTCCTGTTAGAGATAGAAACAAATACAAATAAACTTATAGCTTACTTTTAATTGAAATAATCTTGACTCTTTGTTTGTGGGTTGATGAAAGCATTACTCTAATAATCAGTACAGCTCTCAGTTTAGATGACTAAAACAATAATTAGACTTAAATAGACTAATTAGAATAAGCTGAGGTGTGAAACTATATTCAACCTGCCCATAAAAACACTCAACATAGATTAATGCAGTGGTTGTTAAACTGTCATACCAAGTGCTTCCTAAGAAAATATTCGGCTTTCTGAGTACCTAAACACATATTAGGCCTAAATTAGGGCTAAGGTGGTTCTAAGTAATGAGCACCCAAAAATTATGCATACACAATAACATAATATAATAGTCTCTAAATACTCAAACTCAAGCAGAGGGCCCTGTTTACCAATAGATCTACATGTACCACAGTTTGAGAATCACTAGATAAATGCATTGCAAACATATGGATTTACATTCATTAAATTTGAGTATTGATAAACTGCACCATTAAACAATAAAATCAGTGTATAAACACTAATATATAAAATGCATAGAATATAGTGTTCATACTTCTTTTTATTAGTAGTACAGTATTTGTGACATTTACCTATAACACTTTTGGCAAAGGATGTCCTCATAAGAGTGGCGAGTCCCAGGTCTCCTATCTTCACTGAGCCTGTGGGGCCTGTAATAAATATGTTGTCACATTTGAGGTCCCTGTGGACAATGGGAGGGGTCCTGGTGTGAAGGAAGTGCAGCCCCTTAAGGATTTGCCGGCACCAGCTGCGGAGGACCTTAGGCTTCATTACTTTAAAGCGTTTCAGGTATCTGTGCAGAAAGAAAATCATAACTCTAATGATCCATATATTATGAAACATTTAATGTGTTTCTACATACGTTTTGAGTGTCCCTGAAGTCATGAGTTCGGTCACTAAAACAATACACTTTTTGCCACGCAGCACTGATTCCCAGGAATCATAGAAGCGCACTATATTGGGATGTTGAAGCCCTTTGAGCATTTCTGCTTCCTCTTTAAACCTCTGTTGCTCAGCCTTGGTCAGTTTGCGGTCCTGAGAATAGAGATAGTAAAACATTATTATTATTATTATTATTATTATTATTATTATTATTATTATTATTATTATTATTATTATTATTATTATTAATAATAATAATAATAATAATAATAATAATAATAATAATAACAAATGTACTGATATGATACAAATATCAATATTGACATTTTTGATGGATCAGATATCAGTACCAGGTATCGCTTTAGTTGCCAATGTTCATTTCAAACAGCTTCTAATACTAAACTTGTATTTTTTTCAAAGCTGCTCTATAGTTACTTTAAATGATAAATAAGTCTTTGTCCTAGTATCGGTTGATATTGGCAGATACTTAAAGCATGTTGTCAACATTGGTATTGGGACAAAAAAATGCTGGGTCAGTATATTCCTAAAAATAATGCATACAACCTGATGCGTAATTTTCACATACAGGAGTAGAGCAATGAAACCAATTGCCACTAGATGGTACTACAGCACTAAACAGATTTTCTAGTCTTACGGCAACACCCATGCCTTGCTTGTACTAAACACAAATTTTCAGAAGGGCCAAACACCACAAAAAATCACCAAAGACAGTTCTTGGCCATATGCTGCACAGCACTGCATAGGCTTTCGTATTAAAACTCCAAATTGTATAGTTAAGGTTGTGTTCTTGCCCATAATTATGTCAAATAAAGACTGTATGCATGCATGTATATTTGAAGTAGTGCATGTTTGAGAGATGATGAACTGATTTTGAACATAAAATCAATTGTTGAATTGATTTGTGCTTTTTCAATGAACTGATCTGATTGGCTAAGTAGGTGGGTGCATATTTTTGGACATGTCAGAAGCAACTGTGGTCAGTGAATTCAAGTGTGAGAGAAACAAGATTTTCATGTTTTTGACCTTAGCTGACCATCTTCTTACTAGTCAGAAGCATCAAACATGACAGCATTTTTATTTTTAGCCATATAAAAAGAAAACTATAATGCAAATAATTACATAAGCAACCACTGTGGTGTCACAGACAGACGTAACTATAAATAGAAGTCATAAAACTGGTTTTCCACTGATCAATGGCATTGATGTTGGGCCATAAAGGGGCCAGAAGATAAGCTCTATTTTAACAGATATTAGGGGTTGGTGGAGTTGTCAAAAGTATATAAAATCTAAATCAATAATAATTTGTGCAAGTATTAGTATAAACCAGACAAAATTTGACCTTTAGCGGATAGTTTTAGAAAAATCTTGAGATTTGTCAAAACTAGTCTAAGATCACATAGTACCATAAATAGTACTATTACTTAGTGTTGAAAATTATTATTTAGTTATTTTTGTGGTATCAAAATTGGTATAGAGTATCAAAACTATTCCTTAGTATTTACATAGTTTAGAATTTTATCGTGACAAACCTAATTAGTAGCATTGTCATATGCAATTAACTAAATATAAATTAATCACTCACTTGTGTAACTTGAAGCCGTGTATTTTTAGTCTAATTTGTGAATGATACCCTCTTTTGCTTCCCTTAACACCATATTTGTCAGTGCGATTTAGTTTGCTTATGTCTTATGTTTAATAAGCCTCACTGTCCTTTTCAGGAAATGCTTGCAAAGGTAACCTCAACAGAAGTAGTATTGACAGAGTGCTTGCCTGTTGTACTAATATGGCTAAGAATAAGTTGGCCTATTGCTGTTCCTATTTTAACCACTTGTATTGATCACTTAATGCCAATTGATGCACTAACAGTTGTGTCAAATGCAGCCTATGTACATATAACTTTATTAAGCACCATCTGAAAGCTAGTGCTGTTTTTGTCACTCATCTCTTGTTTGCACATCCACGAATACTTTCTCCTCCATTGAATTTCTTGCTTCTAAAGAGTTGTGCAAAAGTTCAAATGACAGATGGCTCCAAACTGCAGTAGCCTGGGAAACTTAAGACACACAAACAAAGCCAGCCAGACAAACAAAAGCTTAAGCAATGTTTCATTAAAATCAATAGTGTATTTTCATCATGAGTCATTAACCAATGCATTTTTTGCAGCTAAAAACAGATACTATCATCAATTTATTTTTATGGCATGCTATGTTCTTGAGCGAATCATTGTAACACTTATTTCCCCATTGTTGTTTCTCTTATCTTATCATCTAAAATGAAATGATACAAGCATGAAATACTTAGTTATAAGGCATAAAGTTTATAAAAATGTAAATCAAAGTAAATTTTTTTAATAAAATGGTTCTTAAATGACACAGTGGTGTTTTTTTCAATAAAGATAATGATTTATTTAAAATATTTTTTACGATACCTTTGATGTGTGTGAAAAGTACTGAATACTCCCACAAATATAATCAAAAACGTTAGTTTCATTGACATGTTTATGAATTTGGGGTTATCATTGCAGTGTTGTGTTCATTACAGTCTACATGAAACAGTAAACAGTGTTGACCCACGGACTAGTCATGCACCTAGGGATTTTTTTGGATCTGACATCTGCTGGGGCAGAAGGGTCAGTTAAGTAGCCTCATAAAAACATTGAGAAATAGACACGACCTACTCAAGTAGACTCACAAATGTCACAGTGCACTTAATGTAAAATATGAAAATACATTTTTAAGGATGTTTTGACTGTTTATTTCACAGTATATTACAGAATATAAATCAGCCTGACACATTAGCGTTTTTCTTATGTGCAAAGTACTAGTAAATGCCAATTTGAATGGTCACAACAACACAACACTGCAAACACAGCAATTTAAATCTCCACATGACATTCTGGTCTAGTACTTATATATTTTAGTCTTCTCTAAAATGATAAAGCTCCTGGACATGTTTAAAATGTATCAGAACATGAAAACATGAATCACATTTGAAAAATTTGACCAGAGTTCTCTGTAGAAGCACTTTCCCTCATTTACTGTAGTCAATATGCGGTACTCTTTTGTGGGCAGATGAGAGGAAGCACGTCAGCATTTAAAAATCCTAGGTGGCGGGTGGATGGGATTAGATTACCATATGCTAGCACAGCTCTAACTAACAAGATGGCCCACAGTACAGATTAAAGGCAGAGACTAGTGGGCCAAATTCAGTAAACCACACAAGGTAATAGTGCCAGTAATGGGGTCAAATGTAACATTTAGGCCTACCAGTCAAAAAGCATACAGTTTCCACACACAAACTGTATCCGTTTTGTAAACTTTTACTAAAATTCACCTGCTATTGTAGTTAGTTATGGGTGAATTCATTAGTTACTTGTTTGAGTGTTTATTTGAGCAGACAGATGAGAATGAAGTTGGACATTAAAACAAGTATCTACCTAAAATTATTCAACTGAAAATGTTGTGGTGTTGCAGGTCTGAGGTTAAATTCAGCAACAGTTCAAATGGTCAGTGGTTTGCCCATAGCAGTAACCATGTGGTTTGGTCAGGTCAGGACAGTGGCAGAGATACAACCATGAGTTCACAACTTCTTTTTTATTGTGGTTTTATTGTGGGTTCCAAGCCGGATCAATTCTGACACACTCATATTTTCATTACAATCTACATCATATTTCAATTTACAACACTGATAATAGTATAAGTACTTTCCTTACTTTAAAGTACTTTAAACTTTGATTTAAATACTACTGTAAATGTAAATACAAATCAATAAATAAATGATAAAGCTCAGTTTAGTTTATATGTTTCTTTTAACTTTGACCTTAACATGGATAAGCACCCTGGAAAAGTTAGTTTTTTGTGACATTTGGGTATTAAAAATTATAAACATTTGGCTTGTTGTTTAAACCACACATAATTCTTTAAAAGGTTTCAAAATCTTTTATGAGGACAGGCCTCCAAGATGGATGGTGGATGTTTTGTTTTGATGTCTGCCTGGACTAATCTGGTCTGGCCTGGGAGCTCTGGGTTGAACCAGTCTGAGTTGTGCTGTCTGTGCAGGGTTTTTGTTGGAGATCTGATGAGCAGCCACTGTCTGTAATTAACTCCCAGGATCACAGCTTCACTGACTCACTCGCGCCAACAGTGATGGAGTGAGAGTGATGGACTGAGAGAGAGGATGGCAGACTCCACACTGCATATGTTGACATAGGCAGGGCTTGTGCTGTAGCATTAGCCCAATTATGATTGTAAAAAACTGTCAAAATGTGTGATTTGTGACAATAACTAAGGAGATTTACAGCTCTGCACCTACAGCCACTAAGCCACAGGATTCCTAGGCAAAGTAGTTTAATTATGCTCTCTTTAATGCTGCATTTGGACAGTTAATCCCAGGCTTCCCTTGTCTATGGACAAAAAGGAGAATATAGAGGTGCAACTGTCCCACAGGATGCAGCAACAAAAAAGAGCTATTCAATGATTTTGCAGAATATCTGAACAGAAATTACTCTGTGTTAAAGTACAAAATTAAACTGTCACCATGAGTGCATGATCTTAAAGGGAAGTGAAGTTAAGTTTTTGGAGTGGTGTACAATGAGCAACCTGATGCTTGGGCTCAAAATAATCTTGCACCAACTGCTATGTTATGTGGAATGTATATATGTATAACTATAGAACTTCAATATTACTGTCACTCACAATAGCTATGAGTATCTAAAGCAAACTTGCTCTGCTTGTTAGTGTTTATCAGTTTTAGATGGGTGATATATTGGGTTCAATATTGGTATGGCCATATTGGACAGGGGTCACTGACACTGGTATTGATCTTATATTGAACATTTTGTCAATATCTGGCACCAACATTTTTATAAACCGCCTTGGTCTTTGTGTGCCCATGTGTCAGTCCCAGACTCCTCAAAACAGATTTGCCTTTTTGAACAGACTAATGGGTAAAAATGGAAATAGATGAGCAATTACCACAGACTGCAGATAGAAATTAGGCTAAAAAGTATTGTATTTCCAATATCAATACTTTTTTAAGTTTTATTTTTCTTTTAAACAAAAGTGCAGTGTTAGTGTGTGAATATTACTATAACTTAAAGGTATAGTGTGAAACTTTTCGGAAATAGCATGTCACATTGGAGATAAGTTTTATTTCAGTGTGGAAGATTATAGCCAAAGGAACAACATTTTCATGGGAATTAGCAGGAGGAGGCCCTCCTCCAGGCAGTCAAATAAGAGTCATGTTTGTGGAGATGCAAGCCCACTCACAGTACACACCCATGTTTTATACTTTTAAAATCTATATAGATTATATGAGCATCCCTAATTTACATAAAAATAATATGGTTTCTGCTTGTCAAGCTAAGGTTCTCTTGTGAATATGTGCATGGCTTTTTACAATGAATTCCACTGCAAGTGAATGGTAGACTATGTGTTTCAATAATCCCCATCATTCCACTTTGTCTATTCTGTCTCGTCAGGAGATAGTAGATTAAATGTATCAAAAATTTAAAAAGACAAAAAAGACAAAAAATAAGTTATAGAATCGTAGGTTTTGTATGATGGTATTCAGCCTGTAGTCAACGAAAGAAAATCTTGTTCAACTAAAGACAAACCCAACAGGTCGACTATTCAACTAAAAAGGGGGTGTAGCAAAACTCTTACCATGAATGAACCATGAATCAAACCAAAACTGCACTTATCAACATCTACTGCAAAATCAACTATTTAAATAAAAAGTACTTGGATACTGTATCTTTTTTTTTTTTTAAGTTCAAAAAATGCAAAATTACTACTGACTATTGACAACTTTTACTAATACTTGGTTTTTGCTGTTGTTGTTTTTTGGTCAACTAAGACACTATTAACAGATTAATCAAATAAACGACCAACAGCTACAGCTATAAAATCAAATGACCTATAGATCCCAGAGTGTACATAGTAGTACAACATCCCAGATCAACCTAACCTCACCCATTTGAGTAGAGATCCCAAATGAAATACAGTGGTGCATATGATGTAAATTAATTGAATGTGATGACAAAAAAGTAAAGTGTGAAGAAAATTAAGTAAATTAATCTGTCTTTAGTTGGTCCAGATCAGGTGCTGGGAACGTGCCTGCAACACTGAACAGAGAGGGCCTGATCCTGAGGATTATAAGACCTTATTTTGGAGTTAGCTTGAAGCCAGACACATGACAAAATCCTACAATGCCAGCAGTTAGATCAGATGATTAGCCACAACACAGCTTTCTATTGTAGACAAGGAATCTACACATATATTTCATCTGTGCAGCCCACTGCATGTCTAGTGACACTGGCTAACAGTGTTTCCCATTACTTATCTGAATAGTTACAATACAGTTACATCATGAGATGGCAAAGAAAAAAAATAATTCATTGTGCACTTCATAAACAATACCATTTTTCTCTCCAGTCCCCATACTTCTATACTTCTATATTTCTATGCTTCTATGCTTCATATAATGCAAGCTTTCTAGTATACATTGGAAAATGAAGTATGTCTGTCAAACATCAGGGCTCAACTACTTCTGCCATACAGAAGTCTTCATGTGGAGTTAAGTCTTTTAACATTGTGTTTAAGCAGGGACTACTCAGAGAGGCTACTGCTAAAACAAATTGTTGGGACAACCTGAAAGGAAGAGTGGGCAGCTGCTGTACATGTGACTAGAGCTTGTATGAAAAAAACTGTCACTTTAAGGTGACATGCAAAAAAAAAACAACAACAAAAAAACTCACCTGTAGTTCACACCAGGCAACCTCCACCCAGGTCTCTGTATCCAGCCCTTTGTAAACCGTTTTGAAAGCTCCCCGACCCAGTTCAATGTCAAACTTAAGAAAGCGTCCTCCAGGAGAGGTGGCCACGGCCTTCATCTCCGCTTCCTCCTCCTGTTCCCTGTCCCGCTCCTTCTTCTGGGTTGACAGTGACAGGTCTTTGTCTGGCTCCTGGCTTGTCCCAGAACAGGAGGGGTCATGGCCCAGAGCAGGACAGGCCGAGGCAGCTCCTTGTTGTGGAGTATTGCTGGTGAAGACTGAGTCAGAGCTTTGCAGGTCCAGCTGAGGGGCGCTATGACAGGGTTCAGAGGGTATGTCCACTTCATCTTTCTCCTCACAGATCTCCACACTCTTTCTAAAGAACCGCTTCTCTCTCCTCAGACGCTTCTGTCCGGAGTCCACAGACAGAGAAGCAGAGAAAGAAATGGAGCGATTTGATTTTCCCTGGACCTCCTGCCCATGTTCACCTCCAGCCAACCTGCGCTCTTCAGCCTGGGAGGAGGGAAAGTCTGAGGGGGTGCTGTGAGTCCTGTCCCGCTGTGAGATGGTCCTGTCCCGCTCCGTGCCCTCCTCCCTCTGTCCATCGGGTTTCTCCGAGGACTCCTCCGTGCCCGAGGGCTCTCCTGGGTCGGTGGCCATAGGGCCTGGACCCCTGTAGTCCGGCCGCACTTCCTCCTCCTCCTCCAAAGCTGTGCTCCTGCCTCAGCCCCCGTCTCTCTGTTTGTATGAGGGACCCCTCTCTGATCTGGTGAGGGTCAGCTGATCTAAAGCAGCAGGTGAATGATAAGCTCTGACCAAACGTGACCAAACAGAGGAGGGTGGTGTTCACTTTTCTAACCCTTCTTAAAATCCTAAATGGGCTAAAAGCAGCCGTCTTGCTTTACTTCTGACCCTCGACTACATTTTGTTCTTCATGTGTATTAGTAATGAAAGCTTATTTTCTTTGAGTCCTTGTTCTACAAAATCCTGTGGAAATCTTCAAGTAAATCCTGAAAGAAGAGAAATAACATTGTATTAATATTCATTCAAATGTTCCCACACAATGATAGCAGATCAAACAGAACAGCTCAAAAGGCTTTTCAGAAAAATTGCTGTAAAAATAGTTACAGTAATATAAATGTTGCACAAGGAGAAAATGTAATGGAAAGTGGTTTCCAAAACCATTCACTCACAATGTTTTCTTGTAATTGCCCCTACATCATTACAAATCTCAGTAGAGATCAGTAGGCTCCAATTGACTGTGTTTGACACTTAAAGTAACTTACAGTTAATATTGGAGTATCCACTTCGGTTGGAGTATCCACTCTAACTTGCATTATACTGTCATTAATGACTGTCAGCAGTTATCAGCTTATCTTAAGTTGTGTTCAATTGTTCCATTAGTCTAGAGAAAGCTGCAGTTACAACTATGTGATCCTGAACATTAAATATGAATGATGAACTATGGGCCAGTGCAGTGTGAATAATTCATAGATATCAAGATTGAACGGGAGTACTGCTAACAGATGCTACAAAAGTCTCATAAATAAGCAGAGGTGCTTAATTATGAGCGTCAATAATATGATCAGCGTCAACTTCCAAATTCATCCATTCATACTGAGGGATGAAACTGGTTTCTCTACTTGATGTCCTTGTATTTGTAACATGGTGATGTACTGGACAATGATAAACAGACCAACCCATGTGTAATAGACAGTGTATCAAGCAGAAAGTAAAAACTGGCAAGTGGGTCAGGGTATTAACTAACTTTGCATATTAGTTTACCACTCAGAACATATTAACTTACATGTGGGGCTGGCACTGGTGCAGCTAAAAGGAAACCGTCTTGGGTTACCAACACTCTGAAAGCTACGCAGGCTTCAGTGGTATGCAAAGAGGTCTTTCTCAAACGCAAATGGCATCAAAGTCATATTTCCTCACTGCCTTAATGAGTATTGAACAAAGTTGTGAACTCTACAGGGGCTCCCACTGCATTGCACGGCACCCATTATCTCCTATATAACAAGGTCTTATGAGAGGGTGTCTCAGCAGGATTTAAGCACACAGATCTGACGGCCAATGCTAGAAGCTGTCAGTCAAATTAAAAATACAATTGCCCCAAACTGCCAGAAGATGCAGATGAACAGGATAAAAAAATCTAGTTCAGCAACATGTCTAGACTGACGTGATGATTACAGTGAGATAGGACACCTCCTCTGACAGTACTGCACATACCTGCTGGCAAATGACGAAGCGATGTTGCAAACCAGTAATAGCGGCAAAGTCATATAGCTTTAAATGTTATAAATATACTTCAGAGTGAGCTAATACTGGCATTAGTATTTATACTTTACAACCACAACTGTTTAGATGACAGTGCAGTCTACACGGTCTTGTAGTGAGATACAATATTTAGCTTTCTAACTTAGAAACCAGATTTGTGTGACTTCCTCTACACTGTTTACGAGCTTCTCATGGTGATAAACCTGTTGTAGTAAAACAGGAATGGTGACATGTAAAAAAGAATCCTGCGCAAATGAGCACTTTGTAGTACTGACAAAAATATCACAATTTGAGGCCTCTATAGCTCAATTCATATGTCCAGAACAACTTATAGTTCTTATCATATCAAAATCTAACATGAAGCCCAGCTCATCAGAACCATACTCATATATCATTAACAAAGACATTAAGCAAACATAGACAACCCTGATATGTGACTGTAGTAAATTTGCCTACTTATTTGCCCTTCAAATAGCAATATTTACACAATGGGAGATATAATGTACAGTGGATCCAAAAAAGTGAAAAAACTAACAGGATGTGGGCAGCCTAAAGGGGAAAGTGACCCTTTAAACACAAGCTCATTCATTGTTGCCCCTGAGGCAAGGAGTTCCCATGGAAGCCACATACCGGACAGAGTTATCACAGCACATCAAACATGCTCAACCAAATCTCTGTCTACTCTGCACTGCCTCATCCTAACACAAACTTTTTATACCCCGTCAAAAACACAACACGCATACCCTCACTCACAGTATGTCCTGTTTGAAGGAAAGAATACCCATAGGAATTCACTGACACCAGCCAAACAAAATGGCACACAAGCAGTTTGATGCAACTAACTTTTTTGACATTTTATACAACAAGTACAGAGAAATTAAGTTAATTACTGCTCATGTGTAAACTACAGCTTCAGCTACAGCTGAAGCACAAATGCACATCCGACAAACTGAAGTGTGTCTGGCTTCAGGAGCGTGGGAACACCTGGAGCTGCATCATCTATCCTGACATGAACAGCAAAAATCATTATGACATAGTTCTTTCACTGTTTACCAAGGAATTGCTATCTACAAGCAGTTTCTGGGTAAATAAATCAATGTTTTACTGTCATGAATGCATAATACTGGAAAGCTTTCATAAAGTTTTATTTATATCTATCTATCTATCTATCTATCTATCTATCTATCTCTCTCTCTCTCTCTCTCTCTCTATCTATATATATATATATATATATATATATATATATATATATATATATATACATACATACATATATTTATGGCACAAAAAATATCAAACTATTTTTATGCATTGATTTATCTCAATTTTTTCAATATTTTTTCTTTTAAAAAACAAACTGAAAATGGCTTTAAATACTGATTTCATTCACAAAACAATACAGACTTTTAATTGCCATTTAACACAAAAATAAACAAATTTGTTCCTCTGAGGTTTGAACTCTGCTCCAAATGTCATGCTTTTATTGACAATATTCTTGAGGATTGACTGTAGACACTTTGATTAACAAAAGCTAAGCTAAGCTAATCACTGACGATTAGACTTGGCTGAATCTTGATTCAAATTTGACTGCCCTAACAAAAATATATTAATCTCTTAATGGGTACCTGGGCTCTCTTTAAAATACTTGATATGTTTACAAAGTTAATGTATTCCTAGATATAGCTGAAGCAAAAAGCAATATAAAACGATGAATAGGAAGAAGGAGATAAAGCTATTAGCAAAAGAAGTAACCATAACAGAGCGTTTTTATTTGATGTGCTAAATGTGATCAAATGGTTGAATTAATAGCAACATTAGACACAGTGGTAACAGAAGTAGGCTACGCATCAACATGTAAAACATATCTCTGCTTTAACATCACAACAAGCCTCAAGACTTCTGCTAAACTGCACACTTCTGTACACTTGCTGTAGTTAGTCCAGTTCTCACTTCATGAAGGACATAAATCCCCAGAGAACCAACTGTGTCCAAATATTGGACAGGCAGACAAAGCAAGCGCCATCATGTTCAGTTTGTGCTTGTACGCAGGCATTTTTCAATTGCGCGGGACATGTTGATGAAAAGAGAGAATCAAAAGTGGCGAGAGGGACAGGAAGGGATTGTAGCTGCTAGGAGGCAGGGCACTGGGCAGAAGGAGGGGTGTACTGTGTAGATGGGAAAAATGTGTGTTTGAATGAGAACAAGAGAGAGATCAAGAGAGGAGGGGGTGCTACGGACAAAAAGAGCTGGGCGGGGGATTTCGCCTGATAAAATATGTGCCAATGTTGGTGTGAATGAAAGCAGTGACTATAGCTGAATTTCTACTGGGACAATGGCTACAGTGGGGTGCAGGGGAGAGGACGAGAAAGGGAGAGAGGGAGAGGGAGGGAGGAAGCATGCTTTTAGGATTTACAAGTGCAAAAGGTTGAAAACATGAGGTGATTACATTAGCGCAGACATAGTTTCCGTTGGTATGTACAGAGTCCCAGTAAGGCCGGGCAAGCAGTGAGGCAGATTCAATTGAAACAAGTGCCTATAAACCTTATCATCTTCCTGTTTCCCAAACCTGGACAAAATACAGAGAGATATAGTGCTGCATACTGTCGTTACTGACACATATAGCTACATATACTGTATACTGCAATTCATAAAGCACACAAACATGATAGCACTAAGAATTACTATAATTTTATATGTAAGATTAGCATTAGTGGTGATAGAAATACATATTTTTTTTTAATCTTGGCAGCTGACATGGAGATAGTGTCTTGGAAATAATATCATGGAAGTTGTGGGTCCTGCTTCATTGCATTATACACAGAATCCATAATATAAATCTCACAAGTCAAAAATGTTAAAACACTGTAAAGTTCAAAATGAAGTTCAAATTCAAGATCCTGCACAAACAGTAGCATCTATGTCATTATACTTCCTATCATATTGTGTCATGTGTTTAAAAGCACAGTAGTGAATGATGAACTTGCCAGTTGCCCATCAAAATCTGACTTCTAACTTCCTGCATGTGCAACACAAAGGGCTTTATATCAAAGTTCCTCATTTGAGTATTTAGTTGCACAAGGCATGTCTGACAGACTAAACTGTGTTGACGTTCCTTCTACTATTTTAAGGCACATTTAACAATGCTGGCATCAACAAACTGCCCTAATTTTAGCCACCATAACCTGATTATCTTTATTTGTTCTGAATAATGAAGAGGCTAATTGTGTGAGCGAGTGCCTCTCTAAAACAATCTCCTTGCACGATTAATGCCGTCTGACTTCACAGGCCTGGGCAGTGCCAGCTCCGCTCCAGTCCCACAGAGATTTAGCGAAGCTGGAGGCTATTGCAGTTTGGGGAGGAGTGAGTGTAGACAGAGCAGAGGTGGCCCCTAGCTCTGTCAGGAGACTGTACTGTCAGACTAAAGCTGGTTTTGAACCACTTAGAAAACAACTGTGCAACTAGACCAAGACCATTGTTACCAAGGAAACCAGGTTTAAGCAATAAAAAAGTGGCATACAGCTCAGGAGCAGCATGTAGTCATAGGTATATCCCTGATGTCCTGATTTGTACCTTTCCACAGTGGAAATAAGGCTGACTATTGCTATTTACTTCAAGTTCAAAGGCTGGTAGGGTATTGTGTGAAATAGATACTCAAATATTCAATACTAACACCTGTGCTGAAATAGGGTACACATTTAAATAAGTAGGCTATACACAAATAATATTTTCAAAACATTTGAATGGTCTTGATCTAGGCTTTAGCACAGAAGAGCACAATATGATGAAATATTTGATGAAAATTCTTGTGTGAAAAAAAAGTTTTCTATTAGTTAGTTTAATTTCTACAGTCATTAGACATAGACAAATATGTACTAGTATACAGTAGGCTATAGCCTAGCAGCTTTTTCCTTAGTATTGAAATAGAATTTTGAGTTTTAGTATTGTGACTATACCAATGGCAACTGACAAGTGAGCTTACAGACTTTACTAAAACAGCAGATTAAAACTGTAAATCAGATGTCTAGGATATGGTTTGCACTGATAGTGATCTGGAATCATCTGGAATCTGGAATCAAAATGCCTTAATTACTTATTAACAGTGGAAATGAACAATAGAAGAAGCACTTAATACTTGCAGGGTTTTTCCAGCATCTGAGGACAGAGCATGAGAGAAGTATCTGACTCTGCCACTTTCCATCACCCCACAATGTCATTTCCTCGCATGTGGCTTAGTTTCAAAAGGTGGCATCTCAAATCTGATGAAAAAAATATCAAGCTGTTCCCTACTATCTAACACTATTGTGATTGTCCACCACCCATTAGTAAAACTCAAGGCTGAAAACATAACAAGCACTGTCCAATCCAGGTCAAGCATGTGAGGATGCAGCGTAGGTAGCACACACAGAGTACTGTTCACAGTGGGTAGAGACTGTCAGGGAGACATATGTGATCTAAGGCTTTTGTCTGGAACTGCAACGCTCTGAGGACCCTGATCTAAATCCAGGTGAGACTTCTTCAGCACCAATATGAAATCTACGTTGTGACCATGTCCTGACCAAAGAGCTCTAATTCTCCTGAGAAAATGATGAACTTCCCTCTTCTCTATACTAGAGAAAGTAGGCCTACTGGACAATCGTACCGCAGTGCCAGTGCCCATTGGGCCCCTGTGGCTATTGTAGGGGATGTCCATGGATCTTCCATGGGTATGTGATGAAATATTGAAGCCTGTAATAAAAGAGAAACAACTAACTGTTTTTTTTTTTGAATGTTCAGTGACACTGAAGCAATTAATGCATGTTATTTATAGGCACACACAACATAGTGCTGGCTGATGGGCACAACCACGTCAGGGCTTACACATATTGGCTCAAATGGAGCTCCCAAAGAGCTAAGAAATGCAGTGGAACCATGCATGGCAAAAATCAAAACGATGCACATGAAAGCATGAGATTGAAGGAACTGACATTATTACATCAACCTGACCCCTCAGCCTGGCACAGACCCCTTTAAAGCTGCAGGGCAGGCCTAATGGCTCTGCTGTGCCCAATTCAGCACCAGGGTGGTGCTTTTCCAGGACTAATTAGGTTCAGCTAGATATCACGGAACTAACAAAGATGAAGTGATTTAATGGGCTCTGTCTATGGTGCCTCTATAGGATGTCTATTGTCACTGAATGTAATTTTAAATAATTCAGATGCGACACACACGGTGAACAAAAACAAAACAGCACTTACACAGATGTTCCGGTGTATTTAGTTGGACCAGGAGTTCAACGTGAGCTATTGGGTCCAGTGCGCCAGGTTTCTCTCACGTTTATCTTATTCCTTTCTTTGCTATTTTCATCAGCGACTGCACGAATTTCTTGACCCTGGAATCTTCACATAAAAAATATAAATCACAACATAGGCTATTACAAGTCAAGTGGGGTTCCTCGTTTCCTTTAATTTTTATTTTGAGTCCGTTTTGCGGTTGTGCTCTCAGAAAATCCCCAATGAAATCGTCGAGGCTCGGCCAGTGTCTGAGCGGCAGACTGAGGACTTGGTGTACGCCGTGTTTCTATTCAGACGATGCCAACCAATGCTTTTAGATTTCCCTGCTCGTTCCCTTGGTTTGTTGGTTTCAAGTTGGACGACTGGCCATTCATGTGCACCCGGTCAATATTTTGTAACTTATGTACATAATTTACAAGGCATGAGTAGCTTGGCCTGGCACTGGTTCCCGCACGATAAGCGCGCACTGCCTGGCCGCTGCACTTGCCACAGGGATCGTCATTATCCGCGTAGCGCCATTCCCTCGTTCTGCCACACAGGGGCAGAACTGCTACGTGTTTGTATAATGCATTTGTACACTGTTTGTTACGTGACTGTGGTGTTGCCTTCAAGACCTGCTATGTAATTTCAGAATTTACAGCGCTTAGAGAGTCAGAGAAGGCGCTCAGACCATTGTCTCGGTCCATACATCTGATTTTAGATTGCGTTTAAGTTGAGCGGTTGGTCATTTATACGAGTATATTCACCAACTTGTAGTCAAAACATGGTTTGTACTGTTTCCTGTTGCTTTATTTGTTTCTGTTGCTTTATTTGTATATTTATTTGTATAGCCTACACTTGTTAGTTACTAACTTTATACATAGATAATTGAAAGGGTGTGGCTAAGATGATAAAATATAGTTTGTTGGAGCCAGTTTATATTTATTTAATAAATTATTAATTTGATGAATTTTATATAATATTAAAATGCATTTTTCTTTATTATAGATTTTTTTTTTTATTGTAGGTCATCCTGATCTCCTCTCCCCTCCCCTCCTCCTGCCGTCAGGTATATATTGCCACCTGTAGCAGCAGGGCGGGGGAGGCAGTGCCAGCAGAGAGAGAAGAAACTATTTTGTGACTTCACCTCTATCAAAAAAGAAAGTCAACCACGGAGAATATTATTTTTTTTATTCTTTAAAATAAATCGATAAATGCAGTCCCTGGATCTCCGCGAGAGCTTATTTTTTTACGTGAGCTACAAACCTCCTCAAGCAAATAGGCACAACGTAGTTTATTGCATTGCCTCACAATTTCAATTTATCAAACCGTCCATGAACAGACCATTATACACTTATACGCTGCATCTATGTAAACATTCTCACTTAAAACTCTGAATTAAGCGTAAATGTTAACCAAGGGGAAAAGGAGTAAGGCACATCTGCAAGTTTTCCTTCTTTTACGAGATATGCAGGGAAATAGACTTGAGCGAAGTGAACCGGCTAACCCGTGTCTTTGACGTTTGTCGCCCCCTTGTGAGGCTCTAGAGTTTACAAAAGGAGACGACGGAACCATTTGAGGAAATGTTTGAATGCTTTATTTATTACTTTATTACTTATCATTCTCATAGTAAAAACATGGAGTGTTTTTTTTATTTTATATATATTTATAAAATGTGTCACACAATTTATCATACACAAAGGGTAATATACAACATTATTTTTATGCATTACAATTAGACTCACAGTAAGGCTTGCAACCTATGAAGCAATGGATACATTCAAAAACATTAAAACACATAACACACATTTAGGTTCAATTTATTTAGGTTGCACTTCAATAACGCGTGGTGGATTTGTGCTCGACTGGCCAGACTAAAGTATTTCCTACAAGCACCTGTAAATAATGAGGTTATATTTATAGAAGTGAGTATTAACATGTGTTATACATAGTGCAGCTGGGATCAATGACGAAATCATTGTGAAAGAGAAAACCTTTTAACTAGTATGTGTCAGTGATATTGTTGGCCAGTGAGATGGGCAGTGTTAATAATACCCCATGCATAATGTCGCAATAATAACATCCAAATTGAAGACTAGCATGTAAACTTAACTAAAAAAAATAGCATATGTATAAATAATTTATGGCAAGTTGATAAATATAACACATGAATTTAAAAATCAGCTCTCTGCTTTAATGACAGTCCAAGATTATCGCTGTGTGCTTGATTTCCCAATGTCTTGGTGCAAAAATAAGATGTAGTTTGTTGCCAGTCACATGACAGCATGCAATGATGAATGACGATATTTCCAGAAAATTACAATTCATATTCTAACATAAGATAAAAATACAGGTGGGTTTGGAAGTCCTCCTGCAGCTGAATCTAGTCCTGCGTCACAGTAAGGATTAGGTCAAACCTTTGGTCTTTCAAGTTTCCTTTAAAGCCACATCTCATTTAGAGTACTTCAAAAAAATTTCAGTAATTTTAAATAAATCAAGTTCTAAGGCGTTCTTTGAAGCCAGCTCGAACCTCAGCCAGGAGAGGTTAGATTTAATCAGTCTCAGGTTCTCTGTCTCTATAATCCTTCACTCCTGTTGTAGTGTACATAGTGTATGAACTCAACTCTCCAGTGGTGGCCGAAGAGGAATACAGCCATCCATTTCCAGTGACTCTGGCCACCCCTCATACTTGTTGCTGTTTTTACTGTTCTTCATACGCTGAAAAAACACAAAAACATGGCTTTTTAATAGAACTTTTTGTAAAAACCTAGTCACAGACAACATACTTGCTCAAATGGGCTCTTGTTTTCAATGCCTTTGGCGCCAACAAACACCCAGCTGTCTCTGAAGGCCAGCTCCTTAACCGCTGTGCTGCCAAGATCCTCAAACAGTTTCCGAGCCTCATCATTCAGCCTGTCTCACAGATTAAGATCATATTGAGATAAGGAGCAAGTGGCATTCTATTGATCTTGATGCAGTACATGTCATGTAGTCTGCTACTTTCAGCCCTTGACCTGTTCTGTACTACTCTCTGAAGTAATAACTATTACACTAATAAGTAACATTATTGCATTTATCTGGTGTACATGAAGGCACCATAATAACTGGAAAAGGGCAACAAAATATACTGATACATATAGAGTGGTTTATGAGTTATTCATATTTATATCCTAAAACACTTTCACAACACAAGCAGATGATCAAGTTAAATGGACTGAAAGTAACTCTTACTTCGTAGCTGGATCATCAAATGAGGCAACAAATACAAGTGTTCCCTCATGCAGCGGTCGGAGAAACTTTAACAGGTCTGAGACATCTGAAACAAAACAGAAACACTATAAATAGTAGTTTGAGGTCTTTCATGTTCCCACATATGTTGTGCAGTATATCGTGCAGGTGTTTGTAATTACCTCCTGCCCACATGTCAAACGTTTTGGTTTCCAAAAGTTCTCCAGTTACACCTGCAGCAAGACACAAAGTTCATTTACACAGATGAGTTGTTAAAAAGGATGTGTGTTTTTGACTTACCATTTGCTAATGCTATGTTAAGTCCTCTTCCAACATTGTCTTTCACACTGCTTATTAACCTGCACCACAGAAACAGAGGATTAGTAGATGCATTAAAAGGTCTTTTATATACTATTTTAATACCACACAAAAAACAAAAACACAATAAAATACAGAATGTGGGTGGATATTTGCATCAACTTAAAGGTTTCATTATTAAAACTCAGAGGATGAAAGTGTGAAAACAAACAAATTGGTGACAGCAGAAACAAAGGAAGGCTCTGACAGAGAGCGCTTTAAACTCACATTTTGTCCTCCAGGCAGATTTTGGGTCCAATCACGTTGGCAGCACCAGACACCAAACGGAAAGCCAAGTGCTTTGCAGGACAGGGGGCTGACAGGCCACACTTGTACCTTCGTGGACGAGCTTCAACTAAAAAAAAAAAAAAAAAAAAAAAAGATGACAAAAAAGTAATAAACTGCCCTAAAGAAGTAAAGTTCATGTTTACCTCAAGTAAATTTTAAGTAGTGTACATGTAACTTTAAGTTATTAAATAATAATGATGATTACTAGAGTGATTTAAAAATAAAGTGACTGTGTGGACAAGTATTTATCACATTGTGGGGACGGACTTGTAAACACAAGCAGTTTACGGGCACCTGCCTCCTTAACAAGATTTGAAATGAATTAAGTACTTTTCACAAACATAGGTTAATTTAATTTATGTACGTTGTATAAAGCATTTGTAGACATACCAGATGTTGGTCTTTCACTTGCACCTAAAAAGAAATATATACATATTATTAGCAGTGAAATAATAATAATAATAATAATAAGGTGTAAAAAAAGTGTCTTAAACACTGCTGCTTTGAGATTTCTTGAAACTTCTTGTCTGGTAGGCATTTGTCTACGTACCACCAAAGAAACTACGAATGGAGCTATTCTCTCCCCCAAAAAAGGTATTTCCTAGGAGCCAGCTGAGCCCCACCAACAAGAGCACCACCACAGCACGCAGGGGACCTGAACAAGAAACACAAGAACGAGCATTTGAATTTCAACTGAAACTGCCCCCTGACAATCACTGCACAAACCAGTTCATCTAGAAAAACTCCAGATCCCCATACTAACCTGTTAACCTCATGTCTCCACTTTTTCAAATCTGGAAGAAACAAATGAGCACAGTTACAAACAAAACAAATGCAAAATCAGAGCAGTTTCCGTTTAATAATACTGTAGAACTTATAGAAATGTGTGGGTCATCTTGCAGCCTGCAATACTTGGTTAAAATTGACCAGCATTTATGAGCAAGAAAATATGTGTCTCTCTTCTGGTCGAGAAATCTGATGGTAAGTGAACATAAGCAAATAATGGCCTTACCAGACCCACATTACTTGATCATATACTATATGACAAATATGCGATATCTTACCGTTAGTTTTCAAATGAGTCTTTCCAAGTCGACGTTGTAGTTTAGTTCAATGGAGTACAGCTCTGTTGCTTTCCTCTGGGGACTTGGACTATTTTTTCGTTGTTTCCTCATCGGGGCGTTTTCAACTATATAAAGTCACGCTGACTTTATCTTTATATATTAAAACACACCTATAGCTCATTCTTTCCGTACTCAGTCCCGGATTTCATGTCGCATTGAAGATTACTGGTGTTTTTTCTTCTTGGTTCATTTGTCTTCCGGGTACTTTGACAGTCACTCACTTGTGCCCACTGAGCTTGCGCAGATGAACCAGGGGTAGACCACGTGATTAATATTAAGATACTGTACGGAAGATTGAAGAGTAAAAAAGTATTGGTTCAGAACGATTCAAAATTAATGCACGAATTTAATTATAGACAAGAAAAATAAGCAACAGTCTTATTCAAATGTCCTTATTTTCCCAGATTTTGTTCCAAGTAACTTCATGTAAAAGGTATATGCATTTCCAGATACTGCTGGTATTGGCAAAGTACGGTAGGTAAAAATATGCAAATCAGAGAGAAAGATATAACGATAATAATATTCCGGATGTACTACTCCTATGACTACTCCCCCTGCTGTTCACTGTACTCTTCACCTGAAGCAACATGGCTGCCCACAGCGCTGTGCTCTCGATGAGCAAAATAATTACTCCTCTCTGGGGAGGACGCTTTGGAAGTGCGGCTAAAGTATGTCTAAATGGGGGAAATTGTGTACTATTTGCATTGCATTTACGGTAGTTGGTTGGACTCCGTGGTAGGAAATGTTTACCTGAACGCAAGGTCAAATACTGTGTACATTAGCAGTCATTAGCTTACTCTCATTGAACAGAAAACACAATATTATCGTAAACTAACAGACACTTTTACTTTGTGTTCAAGGTTTTGGGGACAATAGTGACAAGTCAAAGGAACAAATCCTTTCTCACTGTACGTATTGAACTGCTGTCAGCTGCTCATTTTGCTATTTATTAAGACCACTTTAATGAATGAGGGATTACATCGAAACTGAACTTACCTTTGTGTAGTAAAAGGGTGGAGGAAATATCTATGCTATTTTGTAATGTATATTTGGTGGGTTTGGTGTTATTTTCTGCTATTGATACTTACTACTATGATGCCTGTTTATTGACTCTCTTTTATGTTCTTATTGCCTATGATCCACTTCAGGGAGAACATATAGTAAGTACCGCTCTTTTGCTGGCATTCTTGTTCATGTCTTGATTTTGTGTTATTAGCTCTTTTATAAGCAGGGTTGGGTGATATACATCATTAAAAAGTTTTTTCATGTTTGTCAATGAACTATAATAAGCAAACAAATCTGGCAAGCCACTAGGCCAAGGTTAATTCATTTATGTATTGCCCAACCCTAGAGGCAACCTAATCCATGCTAATTGGCTTGCCAACTAGATGTATAGATGTTAATGCAAAAGCATCGTCCTATGTATTAACAGTACATTGAATTTCTTTATTACAGCCCCCTCCTGCTAAGTATGGAGGCAGACACACAGTCACTTTGATTCCAGGAGATGGGATTGGACCCGAGCTTTTAAGTCACGTCAGAGAAGTCTTCAGGTACTGTAATGTTCCATAATATGGCATTTTAAAAATCTGAGAAAGCATATTGTCATCTTTCTGGTATGTTCTTACAGATTCAGCTGCGTGCCTGTGGACTTTGAAGTGGTTCATGTGAACGCTGCCCAGGAAAACCAAGATGACATGGTCAATGCTATTACTGCCATCCGCCGAAATGGAGTTGCTCTCAAAGGTAGTTTTCATGTATTGTTTCAAGGTATACATGGATATTTACATGGTTACATGGATATTTCAGCGGTAATTGTATTTTCTGCTACTGCTGCTTTTCCTGTTTAAGGGCAACCGTTGCTTTTTATATTAATTCCTATTTATTTCCAATAATTCCTGTGAAATTTCTTTTGGATTTTTGACTAACCTATAAAATATAGCATAATATTTATAATGCATTGGTTAAAAGTGCTTAATATTTTAATCGGTATCTTGTTAACATCATAAAGTCAAAAACATTAAATCAGTGTCTTCTAACAGGTAACATAGAAACCAAACACACATTACCACCTTCAGTGAAATCTGGGAATAATGTGCTCCGGTAAGATCCTAAACAATCGCATTTGTTTTCCCAGTTGAATATATTTTCTTATTTTATGCATGTCCTTTTTCTTATCATGATAATTTGTCCTCTCATATATTGAATTTTTGGTTGACCCACTTCACAGCACAAGCTTGGACCTGTACGCCAACGTGATGCACTGCCAGTCTCTTCCTGGAGTTCAGACTCGACACAAGAATATTGACATTATGATCATCCGGGAGAACACAGAGGGAGAGTACAGCAGTCTGGAGCACGAGGTATAGGCAGTGTAAAACTCCCTATACATTTTTGCCATTACTTAAAACCACGGACTATTCTTGAATTTGTGCAGTAAACCAATGGCTTCATTTTACAATCACAGTTCCAAAAATCACCATCTTGGAAAAGTCTGATTCAGTAGTTGAGTGTGAAACAAAACTTCAGTCATAGTTTTATATTTATTGTTCAAAATGGGTCTATATTATTTATCCCCGCAGAGTGTTTCAGGCGTAGTGGAGAGCCTTAAGATCATCACCCGGAACAATTCTCTCAGGATTGCAGAGTATGCTTTCAATCTGGCTCGTGAGAAAGGCCGCCGTAGGGTCACTGCAGTGCATAAAGCCAATATAATGTGAGTTTGAATTTGTCTTCATGTGAAATGTAATCAGTGTGGACTGACCTCTCCACTAATGTAACTGTGTAACTGGTAATGGTAATGGTAATGAGCTGCCTGTGGTCTTATAGGAAGCTCGGCGATGGTCTGTTCCTGCAGTGCTGCAAAGAAGTGGCCTCGGGCTATCCAGACATCACATTTGACAGCATGATTGTGGACAACACTACTATGCAGGTAAGAGCCAAGTTCATTTCACATGCCATTTGCTGGCTGTCTGGAAGAAGCTTCTATTAAATAGACTCCTGCTACTGTTTGTGTCCTCTAGCTGGTGTCCAAACCACAGCAGTTTGATGTCATGGTGATGCCCAATCTGTACGGGAATGTGGTCAGCAATGTTTGTGCTGGCCTAGTGGGAGGGCCTGGCCTCGTGCCTGGTGCCAATTATGGCCGTGACTATGCTGTTTTTGAAACAGTACGTACTTTTAATCCCTTAAAAAGGAAAAAGACAATGATTGCATATTATATTATGGTGAAGTTGGTATTCTGTTGCCATTGTGTCTAAATTTATCAGGCCACAAGAAACACAGGCAAAAGTATTGCAGGAAGGAACATTGCTAACCCTACAGCTATGCTGCTGGCTAGCTGCATGATGCTGGACCATCTAAAGTAAGGGTTCATATCCTAAACTGTTTTTCACATTGTTGTGTGAAGATATTTATTTCAACAATATACATTTCTTTTTTCCCCAGGTTGAATGATTATGCAAGCCTAATCCGAAATGCAGTCCTCACCACCATGAATGAGACCAGGGTGAGTTTCCTTCTCAGATAGCCCCCTCCTTTTTACACTGTCAATCTCGTAAAGCTCTGCATATTGTTTGACATGTAGCTCGGAGGCACTGGTGGCAGGTCTGGCATGTTTCTTCATCACATTGCACAAAGCAGTCTTGTGCGTGGCCATTGGCACGTTCCTTTATGAAGTGTACCATTGTCTGGTATCAGATTTACATTGTCCCTGCAATGGCATTAATTACAGTGCTTGTAAAACATGATCTATGTATTTGTTCAGATCATCATCTTCTAGAGAGCACACTTTATTGGTCCCACGTGGATACATAGTGATAATGAAGTAATAAAAGGCTTGGTTTTGAGAGCCTTGTCTTTTAAGTGTTCTATTTAATTTGCATAATGGTAAAGGGTGTTTTATGTTTCAGTTGCATACTCCAGATATCGGAGGTCAGGGCACAACGTCTGATGTGGTCCAATCCATTATGAAGAATATCCAGAGTAAAGGACAGCTCACAGCAGAGCTCTAAATGATCAACGAGAAAAGGACACCCACATTAAACTCACTGGAGTCACAGAGGCAGATGTCGGTACCCATAGGTGCACAGTTTGGCAGGATATGTGTTTATGTCTCATAAATTATCAACTTCTTATTATTCATATTAATCACCATTATCGAAAATGCCTGTTACATGCATAAAAGGTTTACAGTTGCTGCAGTGACATTCCACAAAGCCACTAGGCTAAATTCCTATACTCAATATTTAAGTCCACCAAAATATAAACACCTGTCACATTTTCTTCATTATAACCACTTAAAAATTATTATTATTTTTTTTTTTATATAGATAGAGACTTTCTTCATCCCTGAATGGGAAATTCAAGTTCAGATTCTGATTTCTTGTCTTCTGTGCATTTATAGGGATGGGATGTGAACACAAAGCTGCTAAAACCAAACATCATTCTCTATGTCAAAATATATTTTCATCTTTAAGTGAAATGTACCTCTCTCCATAAAACCTTTAACTGAATGTCTAAGCAAATGTTCGAATGTATGGTTTGTCACCATATACTTGTATAACCAACAAATAAATGTATTGTATTGTATTGCTGTTTTAATCATAAAATCAATACACTTAATTTGGCACTGGAAATGTCAGTCCTCTTCTGATTAATAATTTAAAATCAATAAGGATCTCTTCTAACCTTCTGCACTGGTGAATGGGGAAATTAGTTATAAAGGGTCAAGGTCCCTGATCCTTGTTTGTTTTATAATTTCAGGCCTCATCAAATGCTTTTTTGAGAGGAGCAGCTGACATGTTGTAGTTACACATGTGTACGTTAGGTGGCAGTACTGTCAATCACTGATGGAGCAACGGTTTACCCGTTTTACCCATGCCTTGATACGTGACATGAGGATTTATCACAGTCAAGAATCCACAATTCTCTAATTTGCATTCTTTCAGGTAATGGGATTATCTCTTTCAGAAATTTCCTTATTGTTGCCTAACTGACTAAATTTATTCAATATTCGTGTGCAAGTGGTCTTCCAAGAAGCTGACTTTAGGTCATGTTTCTTTCTTCTGTAACAATAGCGTGAATGTTATTGGCTTTGTCTCTGCTGGACGCTCTTGTAGTTTTCTAAGCAGTTTGTTTTCCATGGCCCACTGAACTGAAAGCCACTTATATTTTCTTTAGGATTGTCACCACATACTCTACACACATGTTAGTATCAGATTAAGAAAGATGACCCTTTTCCACCAGTTTCTATAAACTACATTGGATAGGGCGATAATGTTAGAGTGATATATCTTTCAGCTGAATCCTCCCACTCTTACTGCTTTCTATACAAATAATACTTTTCCACTGCAGATCCCCAGTAGTATCAGGCCATATCCAGTACAGAAGTCCCAAAGGGTTCTGGAAAGTTCGTAACTACTTTATTTTGGTTTCTCTTTGTCAGGTGTTTTTAATATGGATACTATGACTTTTATTCCATACCCTGCTGTACTGTACTAAATATCGTACATAGTTTTGTATAGATTGTGTTTTCCCGTTACATAATTTGATGAGGTCATGATTTCAGATCGAGGGCAGCGTGCTATGTAGCTATGGGAGATTTTTTTTTAAAGAAATATCCAAACCTGTTAACATTTTCTGTTAGAGGTTGGCTCCTCAAATTTTCTTGTACCTTTAAATCAACAATCACATCTTTGGTGTTGGATAATGGCACCACTTTCTGAAAAAACAAAAAACAAAAACGTACTTATTAATAGTGACCAAGACTGTTATATTTTGTGCCAGTTTTTATTTGTGGATATACATTATATAATAAGGCCATACTTTTGACAGCCTATTTGCGCCTGGTTCAAATAAGCTACTGACTCCACAGTTCTGTGTACCTGAATAGCAGCATAAGCAAAAAGATGACTCACTGAAACTAATTATGTTGTTTTTTTATATACACCTTTTGCCTGTTGGAGAGTTTTCCACTTTTTTTCAATTTAGTTGAGACCAAAACATCAACAAGTGTTTCATAAACTGAATTCCTGTTTTTCTTACCATTTCCAACTCACTGTCTCTGCTGCTCCATTGATGTCAGTCATGGCTTCCTCAGAGACACAGAGCTGGCTCATCAGTGCTTGGCTTGTTTCTTTTTCAATATCTCTTCTTTATTGTACTTTCTCACAGTGGATTTACACTGACAGCCATCGTCTTATATCCCACTTGAGGACCCTTACCTCAAATCACTTCCTATCACTGTAAATGGAGCAGACAATCTCAGTCACTCCCAGCGCAGCACTAAAGCCCGTCCCGGCTGAGGATGCTGGCCCCAGGCCCTTAGACAGACGATCAGATGTTTGTACAAAGGGAATTATTACTGCAGAGCAGTTGACCTGCGATGGCTAGCTTTCAACATACAGTCCTCAGATAAACCCAAAACACACGTATCATCACTTAGACAGAGGAATTCATGGGTAAAAGTGCATTTCAAAATATTAGTCTAATGCCACACTCAATATTAGTCTCTTAAGAAAATGTCAAAAAGTTATGGATATATAATTACATTTTCATGAAAGGTCCTGACATTTCAGAAAATATTAGGAATTAATTTTAAAATAACAGTAACCTATATTTATTCAAGATTATGTTTTGGCTGGTAGAAGTTTCAAATGTTTCCTTTATTAGGCTACTTTTAGTCAAACTTTTCCATGAGAGAATTTATGTCCAAAACTCCTTTGAGTCCAAGCCCAACATCTTTACCATTGCAAGATAGGGCCAGTGTTTTTGATTTGTTTTTGATTCGAGTCTCTTGTTCACTTTTAAAGGAACATTATATTGGCAAAAATTGCTGCTAACATTTTCAGGCTGGACTTGTGGAAAATTAAAGTTGCCATTAGAAGTGTGCAAGGGATTGAGAGTTGTTGTGTTATCCTTGACCTAATTATTTTGGCCGTTTTTATTGGACGTCAGAGCTCACCGCGGGCGTCTGTTAATCTGTCATGTGTCCAAAGAAACAGGCACACTTTTTCTGGAGACATATTTTGTACCAGTGTGTTCTATTCTTTCACCGTCAATCCTGTCACTTCCAACCTCACATATGGTTTTGTGCTTCTTAACTTTCTCTATTAAATTACTCTTAACTTCATGTTGTGTCCATCCAATGAGGCATTCATCTTTTTTCTATTACGGTTACCACGCTTTGGAATTTTATAACATGAATCTTGCTGTCTAGTTTTAGATTCATTGTTATTTTTTATGTCAAGATGTTTTAGATTAGAGAATGCTTCACTTGCCATAGACTATTTCAGTATATTCATCTTAACAATGAGCATTATGTAATAAGAGATTTTTATCAACACATTGGCTGAATGGTGGGAAGTGTATTATGGGTGAATCTGGGAGAACTGTTTTAAATATCATCAGTACCACAGCTTTGCCACTTGGAAACCAGAATTATGAATGGCTTGAGTGAAACTTTTGAGTCCAACTTATGAAAGGGGATAACTCAATAACATAAAATTTTGTAGCGTATTTATTAGTTTATTGTAGCCTACTTGAACCTCACTAAAATTTAATTTGTTACTATAAGTTTTTATGTGGACGGATGACTTGTTCTCTATGGAGATTTTGTGCCTTGAGTGCTCGACAAAAAGCCAAGGAAGTGAGTCACCCAAACCATGTATTTTGTGGTTTAAAACACTTGTATTTGAGTAAATAAAAGAAAGATCAGTTTAATGCCATACTGTGGAACACTCCAGGCAAAGCAATATAATTTTCACAAGACAATTGGTAGCCAGTTGCTGAAAACTTGCATTGTGAACTTTTAATGCAATAAAAGCAAGTTTGAAATTGGCAGGACACAAAAATCTTTTTTTTTTTTTTATCCATTGATTTCCAGTTGGAATCACTATAGGTGAAGCAATTAACAAAATACAAGGAAAAAGTTCTTAGAACTTGGCTCCTTTTTTACACAAATCAGCCAATAAGTAATTTAATTCCTTATAGGAGAGTTTTACTGTTTTAATGGACTCTGCACATACTCAGTAGTTGTTTTTCAGTTAATTTTTACCTTAAAATAAATCAGTGGCCTTACAAAGGTATATCTGATGTTAGACGACTCATAGTATTTGGGCTGTCTACTGCCCTCATCTCTGTCTGGTAAAAAAAATTATTATGCACCACCCCCCTTTCCCCAAAAGATATTTACATCTTTTTTATAAGACATCCAATCTCATCTACAAATGTTAAAATGATATTCAAGAAATTTTCAAAATAAGGCTAAAGTAAAACTAGGACTTCAACCTTAGGATGTCATAAATAACTACTGTGCACTACATTTAAACTTGTTTAGTACCTACAGTTAGGCAACTATGGAAGGGGGTGAGGGGTGCACTCTCCACTGTTAAAAGGCTCTAAATACCATGTTATGTGAGCAGCCAGATGAAACACCACAGCACCCCATCAGCTCCTCCTTTGATGAAAATATCTGGAGCCACCATTGTATGTGTGAACGTGTGGTCACCTTAAGCCTCAAAAATATAGGCTGCACCTGAAGGAACATGCAACCTGTGCCAATTCATTTTCTGGATCACTGCACACTGGAGGACAGGGATTTACTGTGACTGCCCAAAGAAGAAGAGAAGGCAAACAAACAAATGCATTATGGGAAATTTGAAGCATTCCACAACACTGAGCACACGATAGCATAAAAAATGATTTCAGTTCAATTAATTTTTGTAGAGCCCAAAATCACAGTTGCAGTTATGTACAAACCAAGTCTGTAAATGTGTCAAGAAGTGACCTTTATCCATTAGCGGGACACTTCATAAAAACTGTCCTATAGAAACAGATGGATGCCAAAATACTTTTAAGCCTGTTACAAATAACTTCTTAATAGTCAATGTAAATAACTGTTATGAAACAAATTGCAGTTTAGCGGGTAGCAGATGAAGCTAATCAATCAACATCTCATGGCACAGCTGTATCCAGTCACTAGGCATGCTGCTCCATGCTAATGGGACCCTGTATACCTCCCCCACACGGTTCAGCTTAACTACAATGAACTACGTCACTGGACAGCTATCCTCTCTCTCCATCTGTGTGTCCTTTTGGCTTGGTCTTAATAAGGACTTCACTGTCTTCTCTGGAGCAGTGACGAGCCTAATCAGTGAGGAATTATGAAGGAGTCGAGATGGTGGTTGGTGGTAATTTGCTTCTTAGAAAAAAAAAGAAAAAAAAACAAGTCAAAGAATGGCACTCGGACGGATAAAGAGGAGAGAACAGAGTGTATGAAAGAGTAGAGCAGGGTTAGGAGGCTAATTGAGGATATAGAAAACTTTCAAAACTTAGTGAAGGATTATGATGTGTAGTGTTGGGTTGTACTATCATAACTTTATGTGAAATGACCAAATCATAGAGATGTTTTAAAACGTTTCTTGTGTAATTTGTTTATGGCTAGAGTAATAACACAAGCTTCCTGTTAAGGTTTGACTGCAGTTCAGCCCATTATGTTTTTAGTTATTGCAGCTTTAGACAAGACAAGAATACTAAATGTGTGTTATTTTAGGTCATCCTGTTTAAGTTTGAGCTTCAGTCAGCATTAA